TTTCGGCGATGCGTCCGACAGCAACATCTCCCTCACCCCCTTCCGCCCACGCCCTCGGACTCCGTCGGTTACTTAGCAACCAGTCTATTCATCCTTGGAGTTACGCTAGGGCCCTCGAGGCGGCGGCGGTGCGTTTCCTCCGCGCCTGAAACAGCGTCCAGGGGCGGCGGGGAGGGAAGCCGGGGGTAGGGGTAGGGGGAGGGGAAGGCGAAGGGTAGGGGAGGGAGACCGGAGGTGGGGGAGGGGGGGCGTAGGGTAGGCGGAGAAGGCAGTACCTGGACGTCAAAGGCTTGCATAAGGCCGGAGGAGCGGTCGCGTCCCCGGCACGAGGCACGGAGGCGGCGCTCGTGCTGCCTACGCCGCCCGCCCGAGCCTCCTGGCGCGCCTCGGCCCTTTGTTTCTCCCGCCCATTCATCTGCTTCCTGCTCATCTTTCTTCTCTTTCTCATTATTTTTCTTCTTCTCCTCCTCCTCCTCCACAGAAGATATATATATATAATATATATATATATATATATATATATATATATATATATATATATATATATATATATATGTAGAGAGAGAGAGAGAGAGAGAGAGAGAGAGAGAGAGAGAGAGAGAGAGAGAGAGAGAGAGAGAGAGAGAGAGAGAGAGAGAGAGAGAGAGAGCGAGAGCGAGAGCGAGAGAGAGAGAGAGAGAGAGAGAGAGAGAGAGAGAGAGAAAGAGAGAGAGAGAGAGAGAGAGAGAGAGAGAGAGAGAGAGAGAGAGAGTGAGGAGAAAGGAAGACCTAGAGTAGGCGAGACATAACCCTACCCATGTTGCAATAGTTTCCGTTGCACATATCAATGCTACGCCTCCGCAATGCATACCCCTTCCCCCTCCTCCTCCTTTTTTTCTGCACGCTTCTTCATCGTCTTCTTCTCTTTCTTCTTATTCTTTCTTTTTTTCTTTTCTTCTTATTCTTCTCCTACTTCTTATTCTTTCTTTTTTTCTTTTCTTCTTCTTCTCCTACTTCACCCCCACCAACACCTCCTCCTCCTCCTTTTCCTTCTTCCCTTTCTCCTCCCCCGTCTCCTCTTCTTCTTCCTCTTCGCTATCTTCTCTTCCTTCTCTATCTGTTCCCCCTCCTCCTCCTCCCCTTCCTCTGTCACCTCCTCCTCCTCCTCCTCTTCCTCTTCCTCCTCCTGCATCACCTCTATCTACTTCCACATCTTCCTCTTCTCTCTCCTCCTCATCTCTCTCCCACTTCAACTCTTTCCCTACGGCTATTCTTCTCCGTCCTCTCTCTCTCCTCTCCTCTCTATCGCGGATCCGAGTGTGATCTGTGTGTCTCGTATCTCACCCTTGACGTCCCACTCCGAGAATATTCGAGGACAGAACAAGATCCGAGGGTCTAGCCTATCGTCCGCCGCGGGAGTGAAGTTGTTGATAAAAGCCTTTCTCTCTCGATCTCTTGCTCTCGCTCTCTTGCTCTTGCTCTCTCGCTCTCGCTTTCTCGTTCTTGCTCTCTCTCTCTCTCTCTCTCTCTCTCTTGCTTTCTCTCTCTCTTGCTTTCTCCTCTCTCTCTCTCTCTCTCTCTCTCTCTCTCTCTCTCCCTCCCCCTCCCTCTCTCTTCAAAAGAACCCTTGGGCCCGAAGCAAACCATTACAGAAATATTGAATTCGAAAGTGGTCGTACACAACACACACGGTCCCGCTCTCTTCGGGCTATGTACGGAAACACGACGTCGAAATGTGTGCATGTATGTGTGTATGTGGGTCAGCGTGTGTGTACGCGTGCGTGTGTGCCTGTTCGTGTCATGTGTGCGCGTGAGGGTGAACCCGATTCCTCAAAAAGTCATATTCACGTTCACTCCGCGACGGATTCCATTGCAAACCGCAGTCGAATAAACCAAGACGAAAAAAAAGCCAAGTCTGCCAATCAGCTGGCGTGCAACCGAGACCGCGGCCGCGCACTCACCTACGCGAGCGGCACGGGAGCGTGGGAAAGGCGTCCGCCGCACTTTTGCAAGAGGCCGCAACCGTCGTCCCCGCGGTTGGCCAAACAACCCCCTCCCTCTCCCTCCTCTCTCCGGCGCCGTTTAGTAACAGGACCCGCCCTCGCTCGCCTAAAACAAACGGCCCTTTCGGCGATGCGTCCGACAGCAACATCTCCCTCACCCCCTTCCGCCCACGCCCTCGGACTCCGTCGGTTACTTAGCAACCAGTCTATTCATCCTTGGAGTTACGCTAGGGCCCTCGAGGCGGCGGCGGTGCGTTCCTCCGCGCCTGAAACAGCGTCAGGGCGGCGGGGAGGGAGAAGCCGGGGGTAGGGGTAGGGGGAGGGGAAGGCGAAGGGTAGGGGAGGGAGACCGGAGGTGGGGGAGGGGGGCGTAGGGTAGGCGGAGAAGGCAGTACCTGGACGTCAAAGGCTTGCATAAGGCCGGAGGAGCGGTACGCGTCCCGGCACGAGGCACGGAGGCGGCGCTCGTGCTGCCTACGCCGCCCGCCCGAGCCTCCTGGCGCGCCTCGGCCCTTTGT